ATTAACCTTTGTATTTGTTTTTTGTATGAACAATTCATGAATTTGTAAATTAATTGCACTTTATTGAAATATATATATATATATATATATATATATATATATATATATATATGTTTATAACTATCTCTGTCTCTTCATACAGATCTATTCATATAAACCTGGCCATATCTTTCTATCACAAAGGCCCTCTTGCTGAATCTGTAAATATTTAAGCGTTTTGTGTCTGTCTATATATCAATCTGTTTGGACACTTAGGCGAGATGGAATAGTTAGACAGCTTTCCTCGCTAGACCAATTACGGCTGAGTAATGAGTTCGATCCTCGCCGTGTGTTACATACTTTCGGCTTTGTGCCGCATCTAAAAAAGTCATTGACACCTCGACGTGGTGTAACGGTTAGCTCGTTGGTCTTTCTAGATCCATTACGACCATGCTTAAGTTGGAGCACGCATTTATCTCTTGCTGGCTAAACTATCTCAATCTATAAATAATTGAAACCGTTTCTTTCTTTCTTTCTTTCTTTCTTTCTTTCTTTCTTTCTTTCTTTCTATCTATCTATCTATCTATCTATCTCTGTCACTTATATATTTCACTGTATTCATACCTATTTCAAAGCATTAGTCGGATCATATCTTGCTGCCTAAAATGACTCAATTTGTAAATATTGGAGCCGGTTTCTTTCTTTTTTCTTTCTCCCCTCAGTTTTCATCTATCTATCTATCTATCTATCTATCTATCTATCTATCTATCTATCTCCCCTCTGTTCCTATCTCTCTCTGTCACTCTCTCTCTCTCTCTCTCTCTATATATATATATATATATATATATATATATATACATATATATATATATATATATATATATATATCGCCTCTGTTCCTATCTATCTATCTATCTATCTATCTATCTATCTATCTATTTATCTATCTATCTATGTCCCTAATATATCTCACTGTATTCATACCTACCTCAACGTATTAGTCGGATCACATCTTGCTGACTTTAATAACTCAATCTCTAAATATTGGAACTGGTTTCTTTCTCTCTCTCTTTCTTTCTTTCTTTCTTTCTTTGTCTCTTTCTTTCTCCCTTACGTTCATATCTATCTATCTCTATCTATCTATCTATCTATCTATCTATCTATCTATCTGATTTTAATAATATCCACGAACCTCTCTCTTATGCTCGATTAATTGTTATGCCTCGATCTGTCTCTCTTAACGTATGACAATATTAATATATATAACATTCTCTGTTGATATATATCACAATCAAAAGCAAAATTAAAATTTTCGTCGAAATTACGACGATAAAATCTAAACATCCATTCACTTAGGGACAATCCATCTTATCATTGGTATACTATCGATCTTTTCATCCCTGTCTTTGCGTAATTACTTTTCTCTTGATGATTATAGAGGAAATTCTCGAAGATGGAATTGGTTTGAGGTCTTGAAAGATGAGAAATAAAATTCTTCATAAATAGATGGCTATTTCCTATTTATTTTCCGAACTCTTTTCTGTTTCGGTGTCTCCCAGCATTTGGTTCAGTGATATGGATTGTTATTACATTATTATCATTTTATTTCCTTTCCGTGTCCGAACCAGAAACCTAAGGCCAGAGATGGCATCATAACATTTTCCACTGGGAATTAAAAGAAACCAAGAAAAAAAAAAACAAAAAAAAAAACTTAGTTCACACACATTTTTCATAGATAAATCCCTTCGTAAAGCCTGTTCCTGTGTCAAGAAATTATAAGTATAAGAGAGAGTATCAAGAGAGTTTGATTGAGAATATTTTCTGTATTTCTTTAAGGTATGAGTTATCACCGATCCCTTCAATTTGTCTATCGGGACCTTTTCCAATCAAACTGAGGTCTCCAACTGGAATTGTTGATGTCCTCACCTGCCACATTTTTGAGATTTCGATTTTAAGGTCCTTGTATTTTGATTGCTTTTGGAAGATCTTCAAAGATAAATTGCAGTCTACAGGTTCTGCCATGTCAATTAGAACGTCTATGACAATTATGTCAGGACGATTATCTTTATTCTTTTCTCTGTGTGTATTATAAATTCCCACAAAATTGTTACACGTCCTGTCTCCGTAACCGGCTCTGGTTGGTGTTCATACCAATTTTTTTCGATTTCCTTTCCGTAAATGTTGCATATTTTCCAATGCAGATGTTGGTCCAATCTGTCATACCGAGTTTTATATTCAGTGGGTGCCAATACTCTGCAACCTGATACAAAATGGGCCGTTGTTTATTACTATTAATAACCATTAAATGTTAACTTTAAGGAAAATAAAGTACATGTTAATACTTAAAAAAAGGCTGAATTATTCACGCATCACTTACACACATATATGCGTATGAATTGGGTTCAAATACATATCAAATACGGATTGGAATCAAACACAATGATTCGATAAAGATCGAATAGGAAACGTTTATAAATTTAATAACTTCCCGTTTTATTAAGGCTTCATGAGAGAATGAGATATGGAGAAAGAAATAAATTCTGCTATTTCTGTTATGTAATTCACTGGCATTGAAGAGACATCTCGATGCCTAAATAATCACAGCTGTGAAAACAAGAGGGGTCTGTGCTGGGGTAACTATTTGAATTCACTTGTAATACAGAGAAACAAGATTGGTCACAATTTCGATTTTAAATATGCCACACTAATTTACGACGAAAGTCCATCGATGGGAGTCTTCATAATATTATTATAAACTGTGAACTTAGGTCAAAAACATTATGTTACATCGGAAACCTTTATTATACTGTTCCAAGAATGTAACATATGTTTATATGCCACAAACTGTGTTTACGTAAAAATGTCTCCAAATTAACATGCGGACAAACACCAGACATAAATAATGCCTACACATACACAAAACACACACACACACAAAAAACACACACACACACGCAAGCAGACATGCACATACAAACACATACAAACACACACAAACGAATATGCATTATCATCCGAATCCCAAATAAGCAAACCAGAATAATGATAAACTTTCATAAATAAAGCAATATTTGCGTTATTTCAGTTAGGGTTGAAATCAGTTATTTTAGGGAGCTTGAAATCCGTTTTTTCAGTTAAGGTTGAAATCCGTTATTTCAGGGAATTTGAAATTCGTTATTTTAGGGAGCTTGAAATCAGTTACTTTAAGGAGCTTGAAATTCGTTTTTTTTTCCAGTTACGGTTGAAATCCCATATTTTAGCGAGCGTCGAAAGAACGCGTCATCTCTCCTTAACGTTCTTAAACTCAACAGTTATACTAATGCTGCTCGACAAGTCAAATGCACGTGATGCCAACTTAACAAATAAAAATGAAACAGCACTAAAATAAAAGATTTAATAAAAGTGAAAAAAACGTTTCGTCCTTATCCTCTTATGATAAGATAAAAACGAATATACACACCGATAGAGGTAGTGCAGCCTGTTTCAAATATGGGTATACATTAAAAAGGGCGTTTGAAGTAATATATATATATATATATATATATACATATATATATATATATATATATATATATATATATATATATATATATATATATGAATCAAGACTGTATTATAAACGCCCATTTCCTAATTTAATGAATCTTTCAAATTTTTATGGTGAAAATCCCACGGAGACGCATAACTGACTCTCACCATTCTTTTTTTTATTACATGTTTTTCTCTCTATCCATCTTTTCATCTCTCTGTCTCTCTACCTATCTATCTATCTATCTATCTATCTATCTATATATATATATATATATATATTTATATATATACATATATATATATATATTTATATATATATATATATATATATATATATATACACACATATATATATATATACATATATATATATATATTTATATATATACATATATATATATATATATATATATATATATATTTATATATATATATATATATATATATATTTATATATATATATATATATATATATATATATATATATATATTATTAGTAGTAATAATCTTATAAGTAAAAGAAATTATAAGTATAAGAAATTATACTCGTTCGGAAAACCTTCGGTGTCTTGATTTGCAAATAATCAAACCAATTCCAAAGGGGGAAAAAAGGTATAAAAAAAGAAAGAATCAAGAACATGTACGTTAGCCGAAAATAATCGTCTAGCATGCAAGTCCAAATCCGAAAGAAAAAAAAAAACTGGTACGAGTAAGCAAAATAACTAAATAAAGTGCTCAATACAATAAGTAGAGCAAACCTAATGAAACCTAGCTCTCCCTCACGGTCCGCTTAGGTGAAGCCTTGGTAGGTTTGTCTGGCTCTCTATGTTTAACTATATATATATATATATATAAGTCTTTTCATATCTATCTCTATCCCTTCCTATCTATCTCAGTCTTTTCATCTCTGTCTCTCCCTGTTTCTTTGTCTGTTTCTCTCTCTCTTTATCTCTTTATCTCTCCCTCTCTCTCTCTCTCTCTCGCTATTATATATATATATATATATATATATATATATATATATGTATATATGTGTGTGTGTGTACGTATGCGAGAGAAGCATGCTAATTCCGACGTGGCTGTAATCACGCGAACACTCGTAAACTATTACAAACGAAATGACGTTGTTTAAACGAATTCAACATATAAAGATAAAATGAATTATTGCCGCGCAAAGACACAGGCCAATTAACAAGAAAAAAAGAAACAGGTTACAATGTGCAGAGAACAGTCCACTTAAAACTAAATGCACAAATCCTTCGAAACGTGATGGCAGATAAATGTACTCAGGGACTTTAAAAACACACAAAAAAATGTAGAAAAGAAATTATCAGAATATGGAGAAAAACAAATGCGTTAAATTAGTAGGGCTGTAAAATAGGTGTGTTAAAGAGTGAGGCGCCATAGTCCAAAAAAAGAAAGACGACAATACTTAGTCTGAAGTTCACAATCGAAAGAAACGACAATCTCAGTGGATTGAGTGCGATGTCTTAATCGTCAAAAAGAATGTTCCTGAAATGAATGAGAAACAAAGAGAAAGAAGATATTTTGCCAGTTAATAAGCAAAAAAAAAAAAAAAAAGCGGGGAAGAAAGAAGAAAGGATAAAAACAAAAATAAATAAAATTGCAACAAAATGGAGTCCCCGCGTTGCACGTGGACGGTTTGAGAGCGCGGAAGAATGCGCCGAGAATGAAGACGCGGTCAGCCTTATGTGTAGTGTCACGGACTGTATGCATGTGCGGAATGATAATGAAGACGTAATAAGCCTAAGACTCTCTAGCGCACGGCGTGTGCATTCAGTGGAACTCAACTCTGGCGGCAGACTGTCGGTTGAAGATAGCGCAAGGTTGTGAAGAAAAAGTAGGAGAGAGAGAGAAAAAAAGAAGGGAGAAAGTCCCCCACTTAGCACACAACCCCAAAATAATAATAATAATAATAATAATAATAATAAAAAAAGAAAACTGCAGAAGACAATGAACAACTGAAAGAACATTTTGCAAGATTGAAATACAAAGTAGACGTATTTAAAATAAACGTAAAGCTTCAGAGAAATGCAACAAAAAATAGAAATTCTCACAAAAGTTACTGGAAGAAAAATTGAAAGAAAGAGTTGGCAAGAAAGAAAGAAAGAAAGAAAGAAAGAAAGAAAGAAAGAAAGAAAGGAAAAACAAAGAATTCAGAAAAACTGAAAGAACATTTTGCAAGATTGAAATACGAAATAAACGTATTTAAAATAAACGTAAGGCTTCAGAGAAATGCAACAGAAAATAGAATTTCATACAAAAGTCACTGGAAGAAAAACATGAAGAATTTTATAAAGAAGAAATCAAAGGAAAGAAACAGGGAATGAAAATTTAGAATAATTCCGTAGATTGGAAGGAGGTGATTCTACAGGTAAAATTAGGTAGGTTACAGGGAAAAAAGAAATAATAGTGAAAGAGTGAATGAATGAAAGGGAAGCGAATAAGCAAGAAAACACATCTATTTAACAAAACGATTGTCGGTTGTATCAAATGGAAAGAGAAGAAAAATATGAGAACAGCGAAAACTACGGAAAGATTAAAACAAGATAAAATGAAAGTAAAATCAGAAGTTAAACAAAGAAAAAAAAAGAAAGAGTTGGTAAGAAAGAAAGAAAGAAAAAAGAAAGAAAGAAAGAATGAAATAGAGAAAGAAAGAAAGAAAATAAGATTGAATAGCAAAGAACAAACGCGACAAAGAAAGAAGGAATAATTGAAACAAACAACTTATATAAAAAAGACGGAAAGAATGACATCGCGAATAAAATAGAAATGAGCAAATTAAAGGTTTTAATATAAAAGAAAGAAATAAAGAATTGCGGGCAAATGAAAGAACATTTTGCAAGATTGAAATACAAAGTAGACGTATTTAAAATAAACGTAAGGCTTCAGAGAAATGCAAAAAAAAGATATTCATACAAAAGTTAATAGAAGAAAAAATGAAGAATTTTACAAAGAAAGAAAATGAAAGAAAAAGATAATGAAAAATTTAGAAAAATTCCGCAAATTGGGAGGAGGTAATTCTACAGGTTAAAGGTTTTAATATACAAAAAAGAAAGTAAGTAAGAAAGAAAGAAAGAAAGAAAGAAAGAAGGAAAAAAGAAAAAAAGAAAGAAAAACAGTATTTTAGAACTAAGATAGAAGGAAAGACCGAAAAAAATCTATCTATCTATCTATCTATCTATCTATCTATCTATCTATCTATTATAGTAAAATCATTTTCTATCTATCTATCTATCTATCTATCTATCTATCTATCTATCTATCTATTATATACCGTAACTATTAAAACGAATGGATATGTCTCAATCCTCATAAATACGTTGGACTCTATTGTAAGTGGGGGTAATATGCTCTCTAAGCAGTCCACCAGTTCTGCCTCAGTCTTTTCTAAGATTAATTTCATGACAACTGCTCTGACATGCTTTTTTTTTTCCCTGGTGCCTCGGCTACACAAATTTAAGCGTGCTACTAGATTGGCTTGTAAGTGCCACTCTTTTACTGTTGAAATAGCTAAATGTAAAGACCAATTGTACTCCTGTGTGGCATTCCCTTCCATTTCCTTGCTTTCTTGATAACTACAATCTTCAAAAATTTAAATCCAACTTCAATAACCATCTCCTGTCTTCTTGAACCCCGTTTAACTTTTGCCCATTCCTCGATTTTCCCTATTCCCAGATTCCGCTTTTATTTTCACACTTTGTAGCCCCTTGCGTAGTAGTGGCATTACTGCCTTCTTTGGAGTGAAATTATATATATCTATATATATCTATATATATATATATATATATATAGAGAGAGAGAGAGAGAGATAGATAGATAGATAGATAGATAGATAGATAGATAGATAGATTATCTATGCGTTGAATAATAAAAAATATTAAGAAATTAAAATTTTCAGACACACTTTGTTGTATATTAATAATTTTACTTTTTTATTTTAATTAGGTTCCTCGACTAGTTTCGGCCAACATGCCCATCATCAGTGAAAAAAAAATCCCGCCTGTTCATAGCACTGAACTACAGGATTATATATATATATATATATATATATATATATATATATATATATATATATATATATATATATATGGAGAGGAGAGAGAGAGAAAAGAGATAGACAGATAGATAATTTCAGTTCTCATATATATATATATATATATATATATATATATATATATATATATATATATATAGATAGATAGATAGATAGATAGATAGATAGATAGATAGATAGATAGATAGATAGATAGATAGATAGATAGAATAATTTCAGTTCTCATATATATATATATATATATATAAAGGGAGAGTGAGAGAGTAAGAGAGAGAGAGTGAGGGAGAGAGACAGATTATGATCTCTACACCGGTAGACATTGATTCGACTCTTTAATAAAACAAACATGTCTACTCGTGTACAGCTCTGAATATAAAGTTTATGCGACGGAATTCAAAAATTATCCGCACTCATAACACAATGTCAGTTTTTTATGGCTGTGAAAATGCCCACTATATTCACTATGCAGATTACCTAACTATAACGGCCGACACCACTACTGATGTCACAGTAAGGCTATATCTTGTAGAAAATGCTGCCATTGAAAACAATTTATAAGCTTAAACCAGCGAGGCTCAGTACAAACTCTCTCAGGTAAATCAATAAAATCTATCGGATCTTTTAATAACCTAAAAATCGAAACAAGTTCTACTGAAAACGATGTGAAAATTCAAACAGCTAAAGCCTAGACCACCTTCAATAAAATAGATGTAATCTGAAATTTAATCTACCAGACAATCTCAAACGGAGATTCTTTTGAGCCACTGAGGTGTTAATGTATGGTGACACTGCCTAGACATTAACTAAAACCCCTGTTGGAACCTACGCACAGATGCTGAGAGCTATACTTGGAGACAGCATATAACTAAATCACGGCTCTATGGATTCATCCACGATATTTCTACAGTCTCACGAGAAGGCAGAATGCGCTTTGCAGGCCACTGATGGCAAGCAGGACAAGAACATGCGAGTGATCTACTGTTCTGGACACATATCCATGGACCAAGATAGGTTGGTCGCCCGGCATCCACCTACATTGATAAGCTATGACATGACACAGAATGTCAGCTTAATGACCTTGATGCAGGACCTTGATCGTTGACGAGATGGAATCAGGAAGGTTCTAATTGAGTTAATGTCAAAGAATAATTTACGTGAGTAAAACCGAAGAAAGATTTTCTACAATCGGTTTCCATATGAAAAATATTTTATTTTTTTCATTTTCTGGCTCGACCTCGTGTGTATATCATTTCGGCACTGATTTCTTCTTACAAATATACGCCTGACTTCTTCGATCGGGCACACGAAAAAAAGAAAAGAAAAAGAAAAACACGGTTGTGGGGAATATTTCCTTCCTAATCAAATGTCATTGTACGAAGACCGTCAGCTAACAAATGACAACAACAAAAAGGTCGATGTAGACAATTTGGCCTGTTGCTAAAGAAACAAGTTAAAACTGTTTTGTAAATTTTAGTACAAGTTTAAAACTTTCGTTTTTTTATTCATTGTTTTTTTTTTTTTTTCTTTTTTTTTCTTTCTTTTTTTCTTCATTTCCTTCTAGATGTCATCTTCATTCCTTCATTTTCTATTTCTCTTTTTCTTTGTTTATTCTTTTTCTGTTTTCCTTTTTTCTTTCTATCTTTTTTAAATTTTTTGCAATTTATTCCTTTTTTTTTTTTTTTTTTTCTTCGTTAGAGTATATTTCGATTTATCTCCCTTTGTAATTCCTAGTGCCTGAACACATTGTGTTCTAATCCACCTTTTTCCCTATTAAATGCTTATGATAAAACTAATGTAGTTATTTAATAACCCTTATCTTTGTCGGGCTCATGGGCATGCTGTCTGAGCACACCTTATATAACAAACTTGACCCTTTGAAATTAACCGTTAAAATGATGACCCTTCTTGCTGTTGTGACCTCCTATTTCAGTTTCCTTCTTTACTGTTCTCTGTTTTTTATTCACCGTTCTATTGATGGTTCTTGAATGGACTTTGAAGATGGAAGCCAGTTTATGAATTTTGGTACCATTACTAAAGTGCTGAATGATTATTTTCATCTCACAATCGCTCTGTTCGGAAGACAGTGAGGCTGTCGCAAAACGATTTTAACCTATTCTATTTGTAGCTGAAAAATCCAAAGGGTTTTTCAGTGATTCTTACGACAAATGGTGTCAAGATGGCTAAGTATCTCACCTGGAAACTTGAAAAAAAAAATCAATTTTAGTTTAGTCGCTTTGTAGATATTAAACATTTTGTGGGGTGGAGACTTATCCCATGCTCTTACACAATATGGATAATTTCCTGTAACACCCGGTATATATATATATATATATATATATATATATATATATATATATATATATATATATATATGCATGTATGTATGTATGTATGTATGTATTTTTCGCCAGTGCCCGATTGTTCTTACACAGATGGGAAACAATCTACGCAAACAGCGTCTTGCCTCATCAGCTGTAGTTTAGCCGAATTTAAACGTACCTCCTGGAAAGGAAGGCAAGGACGAAATATATGGAATGGCTTTGGCTTGTGGCTCTTAGAAACGTATTTACGCTACAGAACTCCCCATCCTCTTCCACAAGGGTCTCTTAGTGTAATCTGGCTATAATTAGATCAGCCTTTTTTTCTCAATGAATATTTTTCCAATAACTACTAAACGTATCTTCCTCATAGCGACATGGTGATTTGCATTGTCGCCGTTAAAGAAAATTTCCATGGAAAAACTTTAATCAGAAAACAAAAACATCTCAATTTTTATTATTTCTTCATTAAACCCGAAGGATAAGTTGCGAGTCACGTTGCAAATGAATTTATTTTGAACGAACAGTTACAAGCGTTCCACTCGATTCAGGTCAAAGGAAATACCCTCTTCGACATGTTCTCATTTACCAACTTGGGATTGGGAAATATTCATTTTTTAAAACTTGTATCATGTTAGTGTAAGCAAACATAAATCTCCCCTCGCATTGAATCGACATGCTAACGATTATCTTACGTTTCGTCTCCTTTCCCGTCTCGAACGGTGTACATCCAAACCAGAGAAATACCCGCTTCTCGTAGACAAGGAAACGGAAGATCAATCTAAACGCTCAAGTGAGAAATGACCACCCGAACGATGTTTCCAAATATATTTAACAGTTTTATTCAGGGCTTCGATTGCTTCGTCTATGTAGGTGGATAAGTGTTATAGTGAAGCACACATATTCTATTGTTAATGGACTCTCCCACCTATAATAAGCAGGAGTAGTAGCAGTCGTTCAAGGAGTCACTCGCTCACTTTCTGAGCGACTGTTCGGTTAAACTCTCTTCCTACGGGCGGGAGGAACCCGAAGGAGGCTACGCCGAAGGGCGGAGTCTCCTTCGGGGAGGTAAAACCGGCCCTGAACCCGTTTATACGGGTTCAAATGGGCTATTTTTTGGCCGAGCCTAATGGCTTGGGAATTGCCCACGTTAAAAAGGCCTTGTGCCACATGACACCCTCGTGGGGGGGGGTGACTGAATATCGTGAGTCGCTCAGTGAGTTGGTCAGTCAGTCAGTCGATGTCGGACGACCGTTAGTCGGATATTAAAGTGTCAGCCACCACAACGAGATTACTGCGTCATTCCTAATTATATCAAGTTCCTAACGTTTTGTAGGTCGAACCTTTTTAGGACCGACTTAGTGAAATACAAGCGACCACTGTTAAACTACTCGACAACAATAAGTAACAGATAATTTGGTAAGTTTCTGTCATATCGGATAAGCTGATAGATGATTCTTGGGAAAGTTTCTGCTATATCGGATTAGATGATATTTGGGAATTCTTCTGCCAAGTTCGGATTAGCTGATCGCTGATATTTAGAAAAGCTTCTGCTATGTCGGATTAGCTGATAGTTGATATTTGTGAAAGATTCTGCCATATCGGTTTAGCTGATAGCTGATATTTAGAAAAGCGTCTACTATGTTGAATTAGCTGGTCAATGCTATTTAGAAAAGCTTCTGCTATGTCGGGTTAGCTGATAGTTAATACTTGGGAAAGCTGCCATGTCGGATTAGCTAATAGCTGTTATCTGGAAATGCTTCTGCCATATCGGATTAACTGATATCTAATATTTGGAAAAATTTCTGCCAAGTCGGATTAGATGATAGCTGATATTTGTGAATGGTTTTGCCATATCGGATTAGTTGATAGATAATATTTACGAAAGCTTATGCCAAGCGGGATTAGCTAATAGCTGATATTTAGGAAAGCGTCTGCTATGTCGTATTGGCTGATAGTTTATGTTTAGAAAAGCGTATTTTATGTCGGACTAGCTGATAGTTAATACCTGGGAAAGCTTTAGCCATGTCGGATTAACTGGTAGCTAATATTTGGAAAAAATTTCTGCCAATTCGGATCAGCTGATAGCTGATATTTGGGAATGCTTTTGCCATGTCGGATTAGAGGATAGAAAATATTTGAAGAAATTTTCTGCTATGTCATATTAGCCGTACTCATCAAGTTACCCAACTATCAACTCCCTTCCCATCTCAACATCATGACGCGTGCCCAGCAACACGAATATACGGCATCAGAAATACACATGTGATAGTCTGTCCTAGGACAAAACATCACAATAGCATGATATAAACAAAACAACCAAAGAAGTAATGGCCTGTCTATATTTCTGAGATGAGGTATTATGTATTCCATTTACATTATTCGAACCATTGTCCTCATCTTTGTCGCTATATTTATTACAACGTTGTGGCCATTGTACGCTACGGCCTTCTTCAGTTGATTGAAATGTCGAACTGAACCCTTTATTTCACTCACTGGGGTCGACTGTTCTAGTTTCACGAGCCATGTTTAATGGATGTCATTTGTCAGTTATCTCCTGTTAATTCCCCTCTCCAAATTCTCCACCGTCTTTATCAGGTATTGAACTCACACTCTTTGGGTCCGTTCAAAGACACTTGGCACAATGGATAAAGGCGTTAGTTAGGTCTAGTGAAAGAACCCAAAGAGTTCGAGTTCAATACCCGGTTAAGGTAGAATTTGGAGAGAGGAATTAATAGGAGATAACTGACAACTATCATTCATTAAACATGGCACAGGGAACTAGAACAGTCTACCCCAGTGAGCGAAATAAAGGGTTCAGTTCGACATTCCAATCACCTGAAGAAGGCCGGAACGTACA